TTTAATTTTCATTTTAAATATTTCATTGCATACAAGTAAAAATAACAACATTTATATTTTTTTAATATAATTATTAGCTTTTTAGTTGACTATCATAGGCTAGTGGTATTATATAAAAAAGAACATTATATAGTGAATACTAAATAACTGTGGGGTCATATAATATTTTTTTAAATGTGAAAAATAGAACACCCATTCATTATTAACTTTTTTTATTTTTTTAGTAAATTTTCAACAACCAGTTTAGCCATGGAAATTATCGAGGATCTATTAAGTTGATTCTTCACATGTTTTTTTTAACGTCAGAATGGGGATTTGCTTCCAACATGTTTTTAATGCAAATCACAAAATTGAGAGACATATTTAATTAAATAAATGAAAAATAATATGTACTAATAAATAAATTATCAACAAAAACTAAAGACTAAATTAAAAAATTAATATATATATATATATGCAGATTAAAATATTTAATCTTATAATATGAATCATAAAACTAGTTGGGTCTAATAATTTTATTTTTTAGAACTAATTATTCATGCTAAGGGAGTGCTAAGAGAATTTATTGAATAAGAATAAAGTGAAAACATCATGCAGGGTTGAAAACAGATTGCTAATATTATAAATAAAAAAATGTTATAATCTTATTAAAAACCGAGCAAAAATTAAATTCTATTTTGTTAAAAATTATCACATTTTTTTAATTAACTTATTTTAAGTAATTTGAATTAAAATAAAATATATGTCATGCTGAGCATCCCACACATTCATGTAATGAAGCTTAGTTTAATTAAAAATAAATAAAGCTTTTTTTAAAAAAAAAAAGAGAAAAATAAATAAAACTTAAAAAATATAAAGAAAGCCTGTGCATCAGGGCTTGCAAGGTCAGTCATGTGCTCCTAGTTTTTTTTTTTTATGTAATAGGATGGATTACATATTATTTATTTTTATTTAAAAAACAAAATATTGCAAATGATGCACTACTTAGTTTTTTACCACTAAAAAGGTGGTAAACTGGCTCTTCTTTTTTTCATTTGTTATTTTCTGGCGAGTTTCTTTCCTCTCTAGCCAAGGAATGAAAAATAAAGTTGTGAATCAAAATGAAATATCTAAAAAACTAAAGTGACTATGTTGGAAGGAGGAGGGAAATAAGGGGACTAAAATATTTTTGTCACCTGAATTCTAGGTTGAACACGTTATTCATCCATACTTTGCAATTCAATCCCTTATCTTTAAGTTTTGCCCTTGTATAACAATTTATTAAAATTTGGTTGTTAATTTAATCATAAAAGGATGCTATTGTAAAGGAAAAAAGTATGATAACAAAAATGAAAAAAATAATAAAATGAAAAAAAGGATGGGATTTTCTATTATTACTTGTAGTTGTAAATTCAATGCTCTTTATGTTTGTAGGTTGCTCAGCTTTTTTGTCTTTTTTTGTTAGCTGTGGGTTTCCCTATCACTCAAATCGAAATGTTGAACCTATGTAAAACATCTCCCAGTATCTATTTATTCAATTCTCAGGCAGCTTACAAAATAGAGCATTAACACGAGAAATGGTGGGATTTCTCGGCTAAAAATACAAATGCCATGATGCGCTTATAGTGATTTTCCTCTTCTATGGCTATGCATATAATAAAGCTTTAATCCATTCAAGCTTCATAAAGCATTCCAACCTCAATATGCTGTGGTAGTGGCACCCAAAGAGCTGGCAGCGCAGACCTACAATTACTGTGCAAGAATTCATAAAATGCAAGCATACTTCTTTCAAACCAACCACAGTTGTTGCCTATATAAAAACTTATCTTCCCTCGAATGTGAACCACTCCAGCCAGCTTTGCTTCTTCAAATGCAAATCTCTTCCTGAGCCTCTTCATGATCGGATGTTAAGCAACCAGAGCAGTTTTGTATGCACAACTGCAAGCTATCTGTAACTTGACTTAAAAAGTCATCTCCTTCGAGATTTAAGGAATCTGCATAGCCATATTGAATCACGCACCCACAAACTCCTTCAAGGCCAAGTTTGCTGACAACAATCCTCTCATGCGCAGCAACCTTAGGCACCAAGAAATATCGAAGCGTGGTGAAATAGTGACTGTGTGTAGAGATTTCATGTTTTTAATATAATGTCCAAGGATAGGCGTCAGGCCATCTTGAATATTGGTGTAAAAGAAGCAAAATCCGGGAACCCTCTGGATACCTGGCTCGGATAATAGTATTCCCAGTCTTCCCAAGTCTATCTTGTGAGTCAACTCATACTCTATCTTCTTCTGCCTTCCATAGAACCAGCCAAACATGATGAAAGCAAGGATAAAAGAAATGGCAAAAGGAATCCATCCACCCTCAGGTATTTTACTCAAAACAGCACTGGCATAAACCCCTTCCATTGTAAAAAAATATGAAGAAGTAAATTGCAACCAGCCATGGTGGAGTTCTCCATATCATGATCATAACTAATGTCAGTAATATTGCGGTGATAAGCATCAGTAGACTAACAACACCTGCAAGCACGTATAAAAAAAATTAATAGGTTGTATCCTGAAAACAGAAAGTACATGGGTTTTGTCAGCCAGGATGAAGAGCCACGTAATGACTCCAAAAACAGCATAAAATGCACGGCTTTAAGCCAATAAGAGTCAACTTAGAGAAAAGCATTATCCAATTGTGTTGCTGTTGAATTAGGTTGAAGAATTTGGAAATAGACCACCTTTCCGCATTTTTTAAAGAAATGGCAACATTTTATTGCAGAAATTTTTTATAAAAAAAAATGATCTGAATGAAAGATTAGCACTATTATAACACTTTTATAGATGCTATCATCACTAAACTTAATAATGAGCAAACATTTGAGATTGTAATTGCCTCTAATCAGCGAGTGCACTCTCTACTACAATTTATTGGGGTTAAAATACGCTGAGGTATCACTGATAACAACAGCTTTTTAGGTGATGTGAAAAGAGATCAGATCTACAAAATGAAAGCAATGAGTGGTTGTTGAAAATGTCATCTAAAGAAAGCTGAGCGTACCGATTTACCATACCAAAAGCATTTCCGATATCCTTTCCATCTCCAAAAATAAGTATCACTGCAACGCAAAGAATCATGAGAATGTAATTGACTTCAGGGAAGTAGACTTCACCCTCTTAGTTAGAAGATGTATGCACCACCTTAATTTTGGGGAAATAATGCAGAACAACGGATTGCTTGATGACAGAGAAGGTGGCTGATATCAATGACTGGCTTGCAACAACAGCAGCTAGGGCGGCTATGATAAAGATCGGCCAATAAATCATTGTAGGTATAAACTTGTAAAATCCATCATCATGATTATTTGGGTTCTTGATAAGGTATGCAGTTTGCCCTGCATATGTCAGAACAAGTGATGGATATATTGTAGCAAAAAGGCAATCTATTGAACGACGAACATAGAATAAGCTATCGAAATATTAAAAGAGATCCAAGAAAGTAAAGTGAAAATCAACAGTTTACCTGAATTGAGCTCCTGTTAAAATGACCAAGATCCGCAAACAGTGCTTCAGAACCTTCATAACAGAAAGTCAAATAAAAAAGTGCAAGTTTTAGTTTTGATATATGGAAAGGAAGAAGGAAACTCACTCTGACATTCTTATCAGCATTTTCAAACTGTTATAGGATATGCGAGCAAGTCTAGACATCCAATGAAACACCAAACAAGCGACTAGGAATTTCTTCTCCAAATTCAAGGGAATTTTAGTTCTAATATTTTAAGCAATGAATTTCTTGAAAAGAAACCTGGCTGTCATATCTAAACTCCTCAGATAGTTAGAAATATTGGAACAATATTTGATTAGCACAAAGTCAAATCAATTAGAGCAGAAAGAAATGTTCATCAATCTTTTAATTTAAGAGCAGCAAAAAGTTCAACCTGTGATACAGAGAAACAGTTCCTCCAAGCAACAGCCAGCCTTCCTTTCCATTTCTCCAAAAGAAGCGGAATATGTAGTGAGGTGACAAAGCCTTGAATATGCTAGGGTAATGCTGAATGATGCTATAAATCCCTACTAATGGAGTACACAAGGTCCACGCACCCATTATTGGGGAAAACATAAAACTCGCTCTAGAGGTGCCAAACTTTTGTAGCAGAAACAAAACAACTAGAACTCCTGCAGAAAGTGCTTCCACCAAAGCTGGAACATTATATATACAAAAAAACTTGTAAACTCAAGGAGAGAAAATCTCATTTAAGATGGAGAGACAGATATAACTCAAATTATGACCTATCATTATCCCGTGTTCAAGCATAATTTGGCAAAGCATCAAGGATGTTTGAAAATATATTTCCATCTAAGATGACTTCCTTGAAGTTTCCTTTGACCTTACACTTGATTGTTTTTATCTTCACTTACTTGTTCAAACTACACATATGGTATTAAGTTTTCTTTACCAGATGATAGTGTTACGTGATTCAATCTATGCAAGTTGCATGTGGACTTATCTCACAGTCAATAAACAGGGTTGAGCTCAAATCCATGATTGAAATCATCCCAATTCACTTTATTGTTCATAACACAAATGGCACTATGGATCTATATAAATCCTTAACCTGAAATGATATATATATATATATATTGTCAAAAAAGCAATCTCAAGAGCATTGAAGACGAAATACACCTTTAAATATTAAAGATAGAAGACATAAAATAAATATAATACTAAAATTTAGATTTTAGAACGGTTAGGATTTAATCTAATAATAAGACAGAGTTTTTTTTATGAAAAGAGATTTACCTTAAACCTTAAAAAAGACCACCGAATATAAACTCGACTTAAAAAAAACAATTAAATAATAATGCAACTTACCTTAGATAGGGTGCATTGCAGGTGACACGTCTTTCTCTTATACAATCAGTCCTGTGACACGTCTTTCTCTTATACAATCAGTCTCTTGCACAATCAGTCCCTCGTAGATTATAGGTTCCTAGTAACCATACTAGGTGGTGACTTCTGATCATTAATGATAATTTTATGATTAAATCCAAAACTCTTTTCAATACATAACACCTGATTAGGAGGCACATAAAAAGTCTTCGCTATCACCAGACAACATCACGATGCAACCCCGCGATAGCATCTTCTCTCTGTCTTTCTCTCTCACTCTTCACCGTCGTCAAATGACGTCGTGCGACATACCTTTAAAAATTTTCTATTTAATTATATAATAATTATTAGTATTTTTTGTAAGAAGAGTTACAACTAAAATTCTATTAAAACAAAATGATTTGCTATTATAATTTCTCGTTTCCTTTTTTTTCTATGAAGAAATATAACTATTTTGTTTTGTTATCTTCATTTGATAAAAATAAAAAGCCCATCACAATAAACAAGTAATATAAAAAAGGATGATTTGAAATTAAGGCATCTCTAAAATAAAAATTCTCTTTTTATATTAATGTCACCTAAGGATGATGTATGCTTATCCCCATAGTAGAACTCTTTAAAGTTATTGTTTCATTAAAATTATATGATGAGTTTTGTCATTTTAAAGGACGTCTTGTGAAAAAAGAAAGAAAAAAAAAAGAAGATAATTTTTAAGTGACCAAGACCCTCATTTTCTAACTAATATGAATTGGTGGCATCATTGTAGCCCCTCAAGACAAGAAACTTAGGTTGTCGCATATTAGCGACATTCTCATAAACAATAACAACAATAATATATATATCTATATTCATATATGGTAAAGTCCTCCAGAAATATTGTCATAATAAAATTATGTAATGAGTTTTATTTTTTATATTTTTAAAGTACCCAAGCTTTCATCTCATAACTAAGATGGTATTAATAAAATATCATTTCTCAGGTGGTTAATAATTGTAAGAGTAAAATTGTTTTACATTAGTATGTGGAGGTACAATTTTACACCTAGTATTAATTTTAGTATTAGCTTAATATATGGGTACAATTTTACACCTAGTATTAATTTTAATATTATATAATTGATTTCTTAATCTGTCTAAATTCATGACAAATTTCATTAGGTTATGAAAAAATTATGCACTGCGAGGCAATCAAAGCTGACATTTTGTTCAATTTTGACCAAGGATGGGATCGGGTTTTAATCATTGCTTTTAGCTTTCACACTACACAATAGAAAAGGAAATTCAAGAAAATAGTTTGATAGTTACGAAGGTTTTCTTCATCTTTTTAATTTAAATTTCACAGCCAGTATTTAGGATAATTTACCATTTTTCTTGTAAATAATTAGGTCGATGTAAGAAAATGTTTTTAAAATCATTCAAAAAAGATTTGGCAGGCATCCTAACATATTTTACTGGTGATTTTTGTTTTAAGAAAAAAAAAAGAAAATATCGAGTGGCATGAAGGCCCATTATCTATGGTTTTATATGCTCACAAATCATAATGCTGGATTTCTACAGTCTTCATTGAGTACGAAGTTGGATCAGTGCTTGGCCCAGATTTATATAATCCAAGTTACGCCGGTAGGTGAGAGTCTGAGGCCTGAAAAAAGAGGACTGTCGGCTGTTTTACCGAATAAGAAGCCCGAGGACAAGGACAGGCCATTCTTGGGCTCGACATTCGAGCTCGAATAGCACAGTGAGATGACGAAGGAATTTACAGGCTAAACCACGGAGAACCCCCGAATTTACGGGCTGACTTGAATAAAGATAAATGTTTTGTTAAAAATATTTTTCAAAATATTTTTTTAATTAATTTGCAGGAAGAGCTAAATTCAGCTAATACATTTTAGATAGTATTTTAGGAAACGCCCAGCCATTCGTTTAATTCAAGTTGATGAAACAATGGGCTAAGCCGGGGTTCTTTTATATTTACTAATATAAAAGTTGATCGGGTCCTTTTATATTTAATAATATTTATTTTCTGATTTTCTATACAATATATTTTATTTTGAAAGTGGCTTTTAACCATTAAGGAACAAAAATGAGAAAAAAATGCGAGTCAGCGAAATCGATAGAAAGATGACACGTTATTATTGACTGTGCAAATTACTAACGAAAGGATTAGTATTAAACAAATTGCTGATGGAGAGGGGCTCAATTAACTCTTCACTAGTTAGAGGGGCCTGATTAAACAATTTTTCATATTATAAGGATTATCATGGTCATTAGCCAAGGAAAAAAAGTTCCTTCAAGGTCATTGACCAAGACCAACCGTGTCTCTTAGTATTTTTTTAAAATTAATAGTTTTTTAATATTTTTAAATTTTTTAATATGTTAATATTAAAAATAAAAAAAATATTAAATAATTTTTTATATTATAGAGATTATCATAGTCTTTGACCAAGAAACAAAAGCTCCTTCAAGGCCATTGACCAAGACCAACCGTGTATTGTATATTTTTTAAAATTAATATTTTTTATATTTTTTAATATGTTAATATTAAAAATAAATTTTAAAAATAAAAAAAATATTAAACAATTTTTCATATTGTAGGGATTATCATGCTTATTAACCAAGGAAAAATGTTGCTTCAAGGCCATTGACCAAGACCAACCGTGTATTGTATATTTTTTAAAATTAATATTTTTTATATTTTTTAATATGTTAATATTAAAAATAAATTTTAAAAATAAAAAAATATTTTAATACATTATTAAAAAAAACCGTTTTAAGAAACAATAACCGTCAAACCATTAGCGAGAGAGGATAGAAAAAGTCCAACGGTTCGTACTTTTCGTACGTGAAAAGAGAAGGCGTCTTCAGGCGCCAGGAGGACCTTCTCCGCCACAGCGTGTGAGAAAGAGGAGCGGAGGACCTGTTCAAAACCAAGATAGACTGCATATAAAAGAGTGATCTGTGCGATGAGATGATATATCTGTGATTAAGAACATAAAGAGGGTTTAACACTGCCTGGGCTTCTGTTTTTGAGCTTTTCAAGTTCGAGTCTCTTTTATAATCTCCCCTCTAATCCCACATACGGCTTCTTTCTCGTTCCCAGCTCGGTTTGCTTCATATTTAAACTTCAATTCGGTTCTCTCTTATCTTCCCAACAAGGACCCAACAACTGCGCCCAAAACATCCGTTGCCATTGATAGTAACAATTCGGTTCTCTCTTATCTTCCCAACAACTGCGCCCAAAACATCCATTGCCATTGATAGTAGGCAGCAGCCAGCCACCACCACAAAAAAAAAAAAGAATTGGAAACTGCAATTCGACATGGCGGCACCACATTCACCATCTATGGTTCCTCGTTATGTCCCCAAACGAGGCCAAGTTATGAAGAAATCCTTAAAGAAAATCTTTGGACTCTGTTTTGGAAATTAGAGCATGATCTCCCATTCATTATCAGCAAGGGTTTCTTTACAATTGACGTCACCATGTTCTCGTTATTTCTTTGATTTTCACGAGACTCGTTTCTCTAACTAGGTTGATGTAGGCCTTTCTTTCATTTTGTTTTTGGATGTCTAGTTGCTAGTTGCAACAAGTCTATCTTAAAATCAGTTAGGTTCTTCTGAACAAGTAGTCTTGTTTTTGATCGAGGGATACTCTGAACAGTGAAGACTGTGCAATTTTTTTCTCTCGGCTTGTAACTTGTAATGCTGATCTTCTTTCATGACAATATTTTTCTTTTTGAATTTCTCTTCAACGATTTGTTGTATTGATTGACAGTCCGAACTTAGCAGCAGACTGTGTTTCCGGCGGGAGTGTTTAAAATCCCATGAAGCCACCATGGTTGGCACGTGGGAACCAATGATTGGGAAATCAAATGCTTATAATTAAATAGAAAAAGGTGAAAAAATTAATTAGAAAGTTCTTTTGCCGTCATAGTTTGATTCTGGATTTCTGGGAATGTTAAAATAGGATTAAATTAATCAGAATTGCCTTTATCCATCACGTGCACCGTCTTGAAGGGTAAAAAAACATCAAGAAGAAGAAGAAATTAAATCCAATGCCCAAGAACACGACTATTTCTGAAATGTAAAAAAAATGTTGCTTCCCAGCTCGGAGACATCTTCACTGGCACTGCCAAATGGATTACCGATCATTATAATTATTTCTTTCATGGACCAGAGAAAAGGTTTCCATGTCTGATACAAGCAATCCATACAGAGCAATGAGAGGAATGATAGCCGAATCACTAGTACTGGTTGACAATCTAGCAGCTCTAGCCAAACAATCTGCTGCATTATCAGCGTTTCTACGAATTAGACTCTCCAACAAGTGCTGATAGTATACATTTACTTTAATAATCAGATTACAGAGTAAATAGAAGTCGGAATAAAAGTCTCTGCAACGTTTTCTGCTCTAAATTTTTCAACAGAGAAAATACAATAAATCGTGCAGCTATACACTATATTAAATATATGAAAAGAACCTGAGTCCGCTATACACTATATTAAATATATGAAAAGAAACTGAGTCCATAATTTTACCATAATTTTATACAAGATAAAACGTTTTCATCTTGAGTAGGCATCATCTTGTATGAGTGGAAATTAAATAAAAAAAAAAAAACTCGTGTGTGCGTGTGGAAGGTGTCCAGAGATTTAATGGTCTTGAAGCATAGCCCAGTTGTTGAGCTTTTTATCTTTACTCTCTTGTTCTTGGGCCCAGGTGGAAGACACTCAAGTGG